TCTGCTCAATAGAGAAGGAGGGTCCCTACACCTCTCACAGCGCTTGTGAACCAGCTCTGATCCCTTCAGTTGGAGAGGGGGTACATCTTATAGTACCACTCAGATTACACCTGTAACTTCTCACATCTGCAGGAGCAGGTTGCCCCTCCCTCAGGAATGTTTCCAACCCAGGTCACAACTCAATGTTAAATGAGACAGATTGGGGATGGCTGCCTGCCCACCACAGTGACCATGGCAACCAAATTGGCAGACAGGTGATAAAACAATGGCAAGGGAAAACCTGATAGCAGAGTTTGGGAAGATACTGAGGTGGTATTTTGCCACAGGCTCTCTCAAATGTTGCCTTCCATTAGCCTGTTGTTAATGGCTTCTTTGATATTTTTTTCCAAGATCTTTCCCGGGATGGAGGTCAAACTGATTGACCTGTAATTCCCTGGATCTTTCTTCCTTCCTTTCTTAAACAGAAGCACCACACTGGCCTTCTTCCAATCTTCTGGAACCTCTCCCAAGTGCCACGAGCTATCAAATATCCTCACGCTTGGTTGTGCTATGATGTCAGCCAACTCTTTTAGCACTCTTGGGTGTATTCCATCCAGGCCAGCTGACTTGTAGATCTCCAGCCTCTCAAGGTGTTCCCTCACAAGATCTTTGCCAATTATAGGCATATGATCTCCCTTACCCTAGTACTCCTGCATCTTGTCAGGCAAGGTGATCCCCTTGGGCTGGTGGAAAACCAACACAAAGCAATTGTTGAGGAGATTGCCTTTTTCCTGGGTGTTAGTTGTCAGCTGCCCAATTTGATTTAGCAGGGGTCCAATCTCCCCTGTCCCCCCCTCCCCCGATTTTCTATGTATCTGAAGAAGGACTTTTTATTGTCCTTGATTCCTATAGCCAGTCTGAGTTTGGTTTCAGCTTTGGCTTTTCTGGTCTGCTCCCTACAAGTGAGGGCCAGTGCTGCATAATCCTCCTCAGTGGTATTTCTTGACTCCCATCCCTTATGAGATTCTTTTTTTCAGATTCAAGACATCCATGAGTTCCCTGCTGAGCCAAGGTGGGGTCTCCCAGCCCTTTTGCTACCTTTCCCATGGGCCAGAATGGAGTTCCCTTGTACTTTTAGGATCATGTCCTTAAGGATAAACCACTCATTGTGGACTCCCCTCCCTGTCAGATAGTGATCCTTCAGGGCCTCTACAACCAATCTCCTGAGCTTGTGAAAGTCAACTTTCTTAAAGTCAAGGATTTTTGCTTTGCTGACTGATTTGCCAACTTTGCAATGGATAGAGAAAGTGATCAACTCATGATCACTGTCTCCTAGCTTCCCTTCAATCCTCAGGTTGCTCACTAGATCATCCCCTTTGGCCAGGACAAATTGAGAGCTCATCAATACAAGTGAGAAAGCTTCACAACCAATCAGATTTGGCTGAATGCTCTTCCCATGAGATGTCAGGGTGACTGAATTAATCTATGACAACCATGCACTGAGAGCATGCAGCCTCTGCTAGTTCCCTAGAGAATTTGTCATCAAGCTCTTCCTCCTGGTTAGACGGTCAGTAATAGACTTCTACAGTGATATCCTCTTCACCACATTCTCCCCATATTTTAACCCAGTGGATCTCAAGTCACCCTCCTTGAGTACCAATCACTGCTGATAGGGAAGTATACTGCCCCTTCACATAGAGAGCTGCACTTCTGCTCTTCCTCGCAACATGATCCTTCCTGTACAAGTAATAGCCATCTATTCCAGTAGTTCAGTCATAGGTGGAGTCCTACCAGGTCTGTGTTATCCCTATGAGATCATATCTATTTCCACTCAGCAGAAGGGCCAGTTCCTCTTGCTTATTCCCCATGCTCCTGGCATTTGTGTATAGGCAGCTAAGCCTGCCATTGGATTCCCTGTGCTTTCCTGTGGACTTAGAAGAGTCCCATCCTTGGGATGGGGTCAGAATAAGTTCCTTTGTGTGACAGGGGCATACTTTCATGCCCAGTGCAAGCCCCGTCCCACCTCCTGTCTATGGGCTAGCTTCCCACCTCACCCTCCTGCCATGTTTTGATGTCATAGTATTAGGATGTTAATCAGGTGGGAGGCTGCCCGTTTTGAACTCTGATGTTTAGGGGAATATCCACAGCTCCATTCCACCCCTACACTGTGGCCCAAGCCTTGCAGATGGCATCCACCAGTGGTTTGCATTGGGTCTTTCTTTACCCAAACAAACACACACATACACAAACAAACACATATTGTGCTCCAAAACCTTGGCCCCCTCACTGGGGCTCAACACTGCCCCATCACTGGGGATCACTGGGGTCTGTCACCCCATCTGGCTTATGTGGCCATAGCCCTGCCTGGCCCTCTGCCCTGGGGAATTACATGCTGTGAGGTTCAGGTGGCCAAAGCCATGCCTGGCCCCTTATCAGGGTCCCTGAAGCCACAGGACTCATGAGGAGACTGAACATTGCTCCAGGTCCCACCACCAACCTGGGCCCTGCCTCAGGACTCCCATGAGCCTGGGCTCCTCCTGTACTGGTTGAACCCACCGGGGATGTGGGGTATGGGGTTATAAGGTGCCCCACACTTACCTTTCACTGGGAAAGTGATTGACCTGGCATTTCTTGAGGACTCCCCCACCACAGAGAGCCCCACTAGACCCCACCCCCCTTCCTCAGCAGGGTGCAGTTTCATATCTTACCCAGGACAAATGAGGCCTCCTCCATCCACCCAGCCTCACCCTGTCCTCTGCAGTGTTCCTGGCAGAGCTCAGCAGAGAGAGCTGGGCCTTAAAATGGCCACTCTAGTCAGGCACCTGTCCCTCCCTGGCCCAGTCCTTGTGTTACTTGCCACACCTTGCGTTACCTGACCTGCTGATTCTGTGGTTGACACTTCCTGGGCTTACACTGGTGATTGTCTACCTGTCCCCCAGTGATCTTAGTTTAAAGCCCTATCAAGCAGGTCAGCCATCCTGGCCAAGAAAATCTTCTTTCCCATCGAAATGAGGTGGAGACTATCCCTTCCCAACAAACTGCTGCCTCTCTCTCTGAGGTATAGACTGCAATTAAAGAATCTGAAGTCACAATGGTACCAACTATTGGTGACACATAGAGGGTTCACGTGGGCACACATGCACCCCCTGAGCATGGCAGTGCACCCCCTGTGAAAAGGCACCACTGACACTGCTGGTGGTGCCTGTGGGTAGTCGCCACTCACCATTCCCCCACCTTGCCAACGATACTGCCAGCGGCATCTGCAGGTGGTCGCTGACGTCTGGTCAGCACTCGCCACCCCCATCCCCCACCACTGACAGTGCCACGGCTGCCTGCAGGAGCTACCCACTTGCTGCCACCCTGATCCTGCTGCTGACAGTGCTGCCACCACCTGTGGGAGCTCACCATGCCTCCCAGCCTCCGGGGGCATGTGGCATTCATGGCAGAAACACCTCACTCTTCTGTTCACTTCTTCTGTAGATCTCTCCCTCCTGTACCCGTGACCCATAACCAGGAGGATCAAGGAGATAATTACCTGCACCCCCAACCCTCTGATCTCAGCCCCCAGAGCCTTGTAGTCACTCATGAACCAGCCAGGATTGCTCTAAGCCATATAATTTGTGCCCATATGGATGCGGAGCATGGGGTAGTAGTCAGAGGGCTGTACAAGTTTAGGGATCCTCTCAGCTACATCCTAGATACAGGCCCCTGGGAGGCAGCAGACCTCATGGGCTAAGGAGTCAGGGTAGCAGATCACTCCCTCTGTCTCCCTCAAGAGGGAGTCTCCCATGATGACCACACTGCATCTCTTCTTAGGGGTTGCTGGTTGCCTTCCTTCCTCAAGTGCTGGAGCCATCAGCTTTGCTGGCTCTACTGTCTCTGCTGATGCTGCAAGTAGTTTGTATCTGTTGTGAAGTTCCAGGGTGGTGTTGATCCTGGTACAGCCTGCCTGGGGGCTGGACACGACCTTCATCCAAGTGACCCCTGGCTGGACTTCACAGTAACTCCTCTTGTGCACCTTCATCCTGCCAGCCATCCTTGCTCTTCTGTCTTCATATTTCTGGTGAAGAGCCTGGCAGTAGGTGTTGATCTCCTCTTTGCCATCCCTGATGATATGCAGCCTCTGCACTGCAGCCTGTAGCTTCCTTATCTGGCACCCCAGAGACTCTATTGCTGAGCACACTCCATAAGGGGAGGTCTCTTTGCTCCTTATCCCAGGTACCATCTTTGGGGTGTGATGCATCCCCACCATTGCACAGGTAGTAGTTCTGGCTACTGCTGTCCACCCTTCTCTTCAGGCTCACTGCCAAGAGCCTCATGCATTTTTGCACACCCCTCCACATGAACTCCCACACTAACTCATGTGCTGGGGCTCAGAGCATACCTGTTTGCATGCTCTGTTTGTGAGGATCCAGCCATGAGGCTCCCTGAGAGGCTGGGCTAAGTAGGAGATGGGGGGGGGCGAGGGGGGAGGGGGGGTGTGACCCTCCTCCGCTCCACTCAGCTTCCTCCCACCACGGCTCCTGCCTACCTGAAGTGGTCTCTGCTTACCTCCCGGCTCCCGGCATTGAGGTGTCGGGGTCTGCTAGAGGATCCACCAGGGGCCTTCTGCTCTTGGGGGTGAAAGAGGATTCCACCCATGTATCTCCATCGAGTGCCAGTCTGAAACTGAAGTTCTTTTTGGTTGGGACCCCTTAAAAATTTTAAATCTCACAGACTCTCAGAGTCTCGTGAGATCACATGGCTCATGCGTATGCACAAATGTCTGCACCATGCTGCTCTCAAGGACCAGAATACCAGCCCCTTCCCTTTCCCACCAGAGAAGGGGGCCAGTGAATACCCCTCCCTCCTTCTCTCCTGTGCTAACTCATGCACTGGGGCCCAGAGAGTGCCGGTTTGTGTGCTCTATTCACATGGCTCCGGTCGTATGGTTCCCTGGGGGGACGGGCTAAGTAGGAGCTGGTCAGGGGGTGACCTTCCTCAGCTCCACTCAGCTGCCTCCCACTGCTGCTCCTGCCTACCTGCCACAGTCCCTGCTTACTGCTGGTGGGTTGGAGTCCACTGGAGGGTCCACTGGGGGTCTTCTGTTCTTCGGGATGTGACAGCCTTCCACCCATGTGTCTCCACTGACAGCTGGTCCCAAACTGAGAGCCAGTCTGAAAGAACAGGATACCAAGGTTCCAGATCCCCCTCACTTAGAGGGGACTTGAGCTTATAACACTTCAGTTTCCCAGCAGAATGTACTAACCACCAAGCCATTGCTCAGGCATTCTCATCCCATCTCCAGCCCTTCTCTTGAAGCTGAGGACTTTTTATTTAATATTAATTCCATAAAAAGGGTGCAGACTAGTGAGTAAATTTTGGCCCTGTTGGAAGCAGAGGTCCCAGCTAATATCATTGAATCACACACCCTCTAACACCCTCTAGCTTGGGGAATTCTTCCTCTTGGACCCACATATCTCCATCTCTTGGTTGCACAGGAGACCAGTTTCAAGAGAGGTGACTCAGTGCGTGTGTCTACATGATATGCTAAATGTGCAGTAAACTAATTCTACTATGCATTGGTGTGTCATGGCAAAAGCTGTGCTATTGAGCTAATGTGCAGTAAAATTACTCTACTATGCACTAGTATCACTTAAAAGGCACGTACTGGTGCTTCTGCAACTACTATGTAGTAGCACCCATTACTGTGCATTTAGTTACTATGTGTTATTACAGGTACTACATTTAATGCACAGTAACTATGGTGCATTAATGCATGTATAGACATGCCCAGTAATGCCTAACCTATGCCCTGGTAGTTAAAGCACTGTATTGTAAATCTGTAAGTTGAAAACCTTCTTAGATCACAGAGACTTAGTCAGCTTTAGCTCTCTCTGACTATCCTGTTCAATAAGCAAATATGTCACCTCTAGACTACTGGGATAAAATGTGGAAGAGCGCTCCTCAATTTTTTCCCCAGATACAATTTAGGGATCCATGCCATGGCAGGTATACATGATGGAGTTGTGCAGCTACACAGCCAGCATACAGCCTACAGTGTACACACATTGTAGTCTTGTGGATGCTTGCACGTGGAATAGGGCTGTAAATAAGTGCCAAAAAATGCAATTATGTAGCTGAAAAAAAAAATTGGGGTCCATAAATTGAAATTGTATTCTGCCCTACGTATCTTATATAGAGATCCTTATTAGATGATGTTTTCCCACCCACATGCACTGAACCTGTGCATGAAACAAGGAAAACTTTATTGGACTAAGGGAAAACATCATCACTTTTGGAAAAGCAATGATTTATCTATATGAATGATCAATATCATTCTCAGAGAGAGACTGGCTATCGTTCAGTAACTCTGTTTTTGCAGCTTGTGCAAGCATTCAGAAAAGCAAATATCCCTTTACTTTATCACTTTGCGTTCTTCTGTTCCAGGGGCAGGCAAGATACAGCCCACAAGCCAGATCTACCCTGCCAGGCCATTCTATCCAGCCCACGGGGCCCCTCTAAAATTTAGACAATTTTTACCTATTGGTTGCTGTCTATTTGATGGCTGAGGCGGCACTGGCAGTACAAGTCTCTGGCCACAGGAGGTGCTGGCTGCAACAGCAAGCAACTTGGGCTTTGAGATTGCAACCAACCCCAGCCCCAACCTGACCCACCTGGCCACATTCTGCCCCCACCTCTAAGAAGCTTCTGGAGACTGGTACCTTATGCCTAATAGAAACTTCTGCCCTGGTGGCCCTGTGGCTGTTCCCCAGCCCTCACTCCATTTGTGAGTTGAAATTCAGGTAAGACTGGGCTGGGGCAGGGGGAACTGTTGGTTAATGCCCCACTTTGTGGGGCTTGCAGGACTGTTGCTCTGTGCTTCCATGTGCCAGTCCTGGCTAGAGTGGCAGGAGCACCATGTGGAGGCATGGAGCTGGTCCAGCCTGATGGCTCAGGGCTTCCCACAGCTCCTGGCACTCTAATGTTTCACCAACCTGGAACAGGCTGGCTCTGTGACATGCTGCTTTGGTCCTGGCCATACAGCAGGGAACCTGCAGTTGAGTCTGGATGGGTGGAGTTTGCTCTGTGCCATGTCATGTGCGTCCCAGCCATGCAGCAGACAACTGCAAGCTGCCAGGCTAGCCCAGGCTGGCTCCTTGCAGGTCCAGCCTTGCAGTGCACTGCAGCCGGGATGGGATGGGTGAGCTGGCTCTGTGCCATGCTGCGTGGGTCTCAGGCTTGGAGTTGGGAACCATGCGCTGCCAGGAGAGGATGAGATGGACTGGGCTGGCTCCCTGCTGCACCATGTAGGTCGTGGCCTTGCAGTCAGGAACTGCTTGCCACTGGAGCTGTGAGTGATGTGGGCTGGGCTGGGCCCTGGTAGGAACATGGGCAACAGCCATGCTATGTCCCCACAGGAGGTGCAATGCTCCTGCTGCAGTTACTAGCTCACCTAGCCCTGGTGGCATGCTGCCTGTAACTTCCAGGCCTGTCACTACATGCTGGATTGCAGGCCCCACCTAGTTACCTGGCCTAGTTACCTGAGTAACTGTTACAATGAGGACATCATTGTGACTGGTAAGGGCAGAGGCCAGGCAAGGACAATGCCCCAATATGTTATAGTTAAGCAACATAATTAAAAAAGTTTAAGTGGGAAAGTTTTAATGAAATTTACATCCCTAATATCATCACTGCACAGGTGAATAAAAACATGGATATGAGCACATCATAGAAGAGGAAGGTAGACACTAAATGCTGAATATTCAATGAAGAATAGACTTCTAAATATTTTTTTACTGATGCAGGTGGAAAATCTGTTTAATTTGCAAAGAAAGTGTGGCAGTATTCAAAGAATACAGTTTGAATCAGCATATTGAGACCAAGCATGCATCCAAATATGAGAAATTGTCTGCCCAAGAAAAAGCAAAGAAGGTGAGGAGATGGTTGCTGGAATGCAGAAAAAGCAAAGGTTTTTTTTTTCTTCACAAAAGCATTGGTGACACAGGATGGACTTCAACAAGAAGTCCTTTTTTAAATACATAGGGAGTAAAAAGAAGGCCCCGGGTAATGTGGGGCCCTTGCAGGACGTGACGGGAAATCTGGTTGTCACGCCAGACGACAAAGCCAACATGTTTAATGATTTCTTTGCCTCTGTCTTCCTCAGTAAGGACCAGAACTGCCACCTCCCTGCTAGGCCCCCATCGGGCCCCAAGGGAGGCACACCTGAGCCCAGTGTAAGTGAGGATCTAGTTAGGGAGCTGCTGGAGGGGCTGGAAGTTTTTAAGTCAGCCGGTCCAGATGATCTCCACCCTAGAGTTCTAAAGGAACTGGCCGGGGTCATTGCGAGTCCCCTGGCGCAGCTTTATGAGCACTCGTGGTGCTCTGGAGAGGTGCCGGAGGACTGGAAGAGGGCCAACGTGGTTCCCATCTTCGAAAAGGGGAGGAAGGAGGACCCGGGAAACTATAGGCCAGTCAGTCTGACCTCGATCCTGGGTAAGCTGTTCGAGAAAATTATTCTGGCACACATCCAGGAGGGGCCAGCAGGGAAATGCATGCTCGGGGCAACCAGCACGGGTTTCATCAGCGGCAGGTCATGTCAGACCAACCTGGTGGCCTTCTACGATCAGGTCACTAAATCATTGGATGCAGGGGTAGCAGTGGATATAGTCTTCCTGGACTTCTGGAAGGCTTTCAACACTGTCTCTCACCCCGTTCTCATTAGGAAACTGGGGGACCGTGGCGTAGACACCCACACAGTCCAATGGGTCGCCAACTGGCTAGAGAGCAGCACCCAGAGGGTGGTAGTGGATGGGTCTTCTCGGCCTGGAAGGACGTGGGCAGTGGGGTCCCGCAGGGCTCGGTCCCGCCCTGTTCAACATCTTCATCGGTGATTTGGATGAGGGGGTGCAAAGCACCCTGTTCAAATTTGCTGATGACACCAAGATGTGGGGGGATGTGGGCACAATAGAAGGGAGCAACAGGCTACAGTCGGACCTTGACAGGTTACAAGGATGGGCGGAGAACAGGAGGGGGTTCAACACAGACAAGTGCAAGGTGATGCACCTGGGGAGGAACAACCAGCACCATACCTACAGGCTGGGGAACTCCCCTCTTGTCAGCACGGAGGTGGAAAAGGATCTTGGAGTCATTATTGACTCCAAGATGAACATGGCTCGGCAGTGTGGGGAGGCGGCTAGGAAGGCCAACTGTACCTTGTCGTGCATCCACAGATGCATTTCAAGCAGGACCAAGGAGGTG